AGCCTTTAAATATCTGCCAAGGATTTTTGGACTAGAAACCTGAGGGGCTGGGAGGGGTGGGAGGTAGCAGGGAGGCTGTTACACAAGGACCAGATCACACAGCTTTGCAACTAGTGTTAAACCCATTTGGATGTGCACAATACTTCTCCAGCTGAATGGACTCATGCCTTAGCACCAGAATGTTCTATAGAGTTAATGAAATAAACAAAGACAAAAGAACACAGCTTTTATCCTCCCCTTTGGGGTGGGGGTGAGCCCTTCTTAGGGATCTTGAAGGCACATTTCTCTATGTGGAAAACTGCAAGAACTATTCCTCTCTTCTCATTGCACTGGGCAATCTAGGAGAATCAATACATACTATCCAACTGTAACTTTCCCTGTGTCTACTGCCCTAGAACTTTCTAGCATTCAGTTAGCAGACCCTTCAGTGGCTCAACTCCGACATTTCTATGGTGCTGGCACATACTAGACCCTCATGAACAAAGTCTGGGAAAGGTGCAGGGGCATCGCTCCCATCTGAGAAGTATACCAATAAGGATCAGAATGACCTTCTGTACTAAGATTCTTGTATCAAGGTCAGAAAGAATACTGAATGAGCAATTTTTCAGTTTTCAAACAAGCTAGCCTGGCTGTTAACAAGGTTTTCATTTATAGAACTGTGATTGCTCTTCAGTTGCTTATGAAAGGTAGCAGCAGAAAGACGACCTACAGAAAAGCAGGAATAGGTTCAGTCTACTGTCCTCTGTCCTCCCTCTCCAAACTCTGGACTCCCCTCTAGAACTCCTTCTCGCCCCCACAGACCAGGCACAAAAGTTATGTTACAGATCATCTCCATTCATCCTTTTGATAATTCAGACTTCTAACGAGTGCTGTACTCTAAATCAAAAAGAGGAAAGAATTTTTCCAAAGATCATTTATGGTGGCTCACTTAAATAAAACCGTAATTTGCTCAATGCAGAAATGTTACAGGGTTAACTTCAGCCAAAATTACAAAAATTCAGGACCACCACTCACAAATTGCTAACACTACTGCCGTAATAAAAGAAAACTCACCACTATATGAATAATACATGTTCAGAACTGCAGAAATGGTAAACATTTTATTTGCTAAATAACACCCAAGGAATGAGAGAGCTGCCTAAACCACCTGGTCAGCGGTGCACTGACAGACTCTCTGATCCAGTGTGTGAGGCTGTGTTATCCAAACACCCTTTTCCAGTATTGATTCTTCAGTCTGTCTTGTCCTCCTTATACCAGAATACCTTATACCTCCCTAAAGAATGAGGGGGACAGAAAACCTGTGAACTATAAAAGAAACCAAAACCCACAGAGCCCTTATCTATGCAATTGTTATAATTATGAAAAATTATGAAGCCAAAGAACAAGAGTTTGATTTTTGTAGCATAGTGAGCTCATAAGTGAATTTTTTCTTTCATTTTGATTTCTGTTAATGTGGTTTGGGCAACAAACAAGAATTAATAAGTAAAATGGCATTAATTAAATCAGTGTGATGCCGGCATCAGGACAGACAGATCAATGAAATCGAACAGAAAGTCCAGAACCAGACCCTGGTATAATAACTTAATATATGATAAGGCAGGCATTACAAGCCAGGATTTAGGGGCTGGGGAGGAAGATTTATTAAACAAAGGTATTTGAACTACTGGTTAGCTATTTGGAAAAAAAAGTACATTGTGATCCTTACCAACATAGATATGCCAAAATTAATTCCATATGGATGAAAAATTTAGAAGCACTAAAACAAAAAGCCTAGAAAAAACCATGGTAAGTATTTCTGATTTCGGGATGGGAAGTATTTTAAAACAGTGGTGGAAATTACCATGAAAAATATCAAAAGATGGAAGCCATAAATATTAAATTTCACAAAAATAAAAAATATTACCATCAACAAAACACAAATCGAAAAAAATCAGCAACGAAAATAACCAAGGGTGAAGATAATCACTATAAACAGATACACCAGGGAGAAAACAGAGTGATTATTTACAAATAAAAAGGTGCTCAGGTTCACTAGCAATTAAAAATCTTTACCTTATCAATTGGATTATAAAATTAGTAAAATGCAAGAATGATAAATCCAAGCTGTGCACCCTGAGCTGCTGGGAAAAATGCTGGCTGGCTGATTTGCAGAGCAACTTGATGATGTGCATCAGTTCCCTTCCACTTTCATAGTTTGTGACTCAGTGGCTTCCTCCTGAAATATCTAAGGAAGTATTTGCACGTGTGGACAAAGATTTCTGCCCAGTTTAATCAAGAATATCACTTATAGGAGATCCTGGTTGGCTCAGTTGGCACAGCAAGCAACTCTTGGCTGCAGGGTTGAGTTCAAGCCCCACACTGAGTGTAGAGGCTACTTGAATAAATAAACTTAAAAAAAAAAACTTTAAAAAATTACTACTTATAATACCCCAATACTGAAGACAACTTAAATGTCCAATATTAGGGAAATGGTCAGGAAAGCGTCATAAATCCACAGGAAGAAAATATTATAGAAACATAATTATATTCATGGTGTATCTGTAATAACCTGGAAAGTATTTAATTCTAGCTTTAAAAAGCAATATATGAAGTTTTAATACAAAATAATTTGAAGATAAAAATGCACAGAAAAGACTGGAAGAAAATGTGTCAAGACATTCACAGTGGTTGCCTGTGGGTGGGAGTAGGATGGCTAGTTTGTCTTTTGATACTTTTCAATGTGTCCTAAATTTCCTAGTGACCAGGCATTATTAATAAACTTTGATAATCATAAGGATATAGCCAACAAAAAAAAATATCATTTTAAGGGATAATCAAGCTACATACTGCTCTACCACATATAAACACATATACATAAACACATTTAATTTATATTTCTAGCACTGATTTATTGCTATGCAACTTAGGCCCTCATATGCACATTTAATTTAGTAATTCAAAAAAATAATTGGGGTTTTATAGCTCTGGCCTATTAGCACTTTGTCCTAAGAGATCACTACTGAAAAACACCAGAAGCTACTTTACTTTAGGGCTTAGCTGATTACCAAAGATGTACCGGTTGTTTTCTGGAACATCTAGAGCACATATTGCCCCCGGCGTGCAAAGGACAAGAGCCTGGCACAGGTGCCAATCCTCAACAGCCCAGACCACCTAGGCTCGCTAACAACCGAGGGAAATGGCAAAGAAGGCAGGACCACTCGGTGCCAGGAACACCTGTCAGAATGTGGACGCTGGGTTAGGAAAGAACAAAGACTGGCAAAGTCCACTGAAACACAGACCGGAAAGGAAAGAAATGATGCAACATAAAAATAGTAAATACAGAACTGAAAAAGGGCAAGGAAAAAAAAAAGGCATAACTCCAAATGACGAGTCTATTCGATCACTGGCTTAAAATAAAGGGAATGTAAGAAAACCCAGTGTAAGATAGGAAGGAGAAGGAGAGCAGTGGAATCAGAAGATGCAGCCAATGAATCAAACTGGCTACTATGGCTACTAGTTTTTAATTTCTGCAGCCCTGCCAAGAGAGTAACATTCGAGAAAATGCCAGCACTTGTTAAAAACAATATGTGAGGAAATATTTGTTTTCTTAATATTTAACCAACAGGTTTTGCTATGTTTTTGTGTTTTGAAAAATAAAAAAGGCTAAGGCATATACACAAAAACACACCACACACATTTTATCCTATTTTAAGCGTCAATGTGTTTGAAACAGAACTTGAGAGTTGATTTAGGTGTTACAAATAAACTTGGGACCATAACACTGATGAGCACGAAAATCCAACATTCTACAGAAAACAGGAGGCGGCTCTGCCCAAAATCTAGTTCTCTATTCTGCGAAGACACACAGCTTAAGAACTTCAAGAGGCATTTAAAAGATTAACTTTCAAAGGAAAGTCTACAGATCTGGTATACACTTTTCAACATCTGACCACTACCGGGACACATGTTCCATGTGACAACTAAACACCCACATCAGGGAGCCAAAGTTTTAAAGTCTCCGTGTTGGCTCAGAGCTGCTCAAATGCAGTCCGCCTTGACAACATGGGGTAAATCTACATTCCTCTTGTGCTACTACTTACTTAATATTTTCTTTAAATCAGCTCACTTTTTTAAAAACAGAAATACCTACTCTAGGCTTGTCCTAAGCAACAGAGAAATCACCAGTTTCATGTGCTACTTATGTTCTGAATACATATTAAAATACACGTTCTGGGCAGCCCGGGTGGCTCAGCAGTTTAGTGCTGCCTTCAGCCCAGGGAGTGATCCTGGAGACCCAGGATCAAGTCCCACATCGAACTCCCTCTGCCTGTGTCTCTGCCTCTCTGTCTCTCTCATGAATAAATAAATAAAATTTTTTTAAAAATAAAATAAAATACACGTTCAATCCTTAAATACTTAAATAAAAGTCTGTCTCTATGCCACCTAGAAACATGGGACATGCCATTAAGTGGTAAGGTGTCCCACCCTTTAGGAAATCCAACTCAATTCCAGTCTCTGCAACAAAGTAAGCCTTGAAATTGTTCATAAAGGTTTAAATCCCAAGCTTTTATCACCAGGGTGACTAGAAAAGTCCAAACCTTAAAATGTTTGATCACTAAAACTCTCAAGTGCTTAGTTTACTGCACAGACATCATATGCTACAAAACACAACATGTAAGAAAAATAATCTCCTGTGAATGAGCAATACGCTTGCTTTGTTTGTTTCCCAGGATCTCCTTAAAAGCAGCCAGTCTACATGACTCTGTGATCATGCTACCACTCGATACTCTATCACCTGTTTTCTTTTCATACAGCTTGCATGCTTACGTAGTCCTGCAATCTAACTTTGAAATACATGCATTTGGTCTCTCGCAGACACATTAAGTACCCCACTTTTGCTTTCATAGCCTTTTCCCTTTGTTCCTCTTGCTTCATACAGCAGTTGCTCAATGAATACTTGCAGAATGTAACAGAACCAGTATGATCCAAATCTTAGAGCCACAACAAATGGTGTATTTGTATCATGCAAAGAGACCTTTATTTTAAGGTTTGTATCTGCTTAAAGGTGAGGACTTTGCCAAGCATTCTAAACACTTAGGGCAAATGTACAATGATTACAAAGTGCACATCATGGGGTTTTTCTTATAAGCTACTTCAGAACCTCAAACACATACCGCTCGGGAGAGCTTAAAGAGTATGACCTAAAGATTTTCAATTTTATAAACTAGTCTTTAATAAATTGTACAAAGTATTTACTTCATTAAAAAGTTTATATTTTTCAAAGACATAGGTATTTCATGGTTAGTCCCACCCTAATAGACTCACATGAAAATACAACATTTAAAATAGAGAAAGAGGAAAAAATTAAATGACAGGAAGAAAAGTCGGTTGACAGCATTTGATTTACTTCTGGACTCTCTTTCTGGTTTTTGAACCTTGAAGAGAAAAAAAAAACAAATTCAAATCATTAACTTATAAAAACTAAAAAACGGAAATATAAGCATTTCCAAATATACTTATTTGTATTAAAAAATCTAAATGACTACAATGATTTGTGGAAATGAAATTCAAACACAAAGGTAATGATTAATAGCCTGAAAATCTTAGGAAACTGTGTCAACTCTTTAATATGTCAGAAAAATATGCTAACCTGTACCTTCCAGTCTTAACAGAACTCACAACAGAACTCTGCCACTGGCAAAACACATCCAATTTATAAGGGAACTAAAATATTTTTCCCGAAAAATTTTATTATGCAATCTAAAACAGTAACTCTTAATGTAAGCTATAGCAACAAGACAGGCAGTCATTTCTTGAAGGGAAGCGACAAAGTAATGCATATTTTGAAAAGCAAAGAATAAAATGTGTTGCTTTTTAAAGCCTGTTACCTATACTCTTTAGGCAGGAGGACACTGGGCCATTCCAAAACACAAAGTCTTTTCCACTAGGAATTAAATAGATCCCAACTGAGTAGCCTTCTAAAGAAGCATCACATCTGATAACTGGTCTAAGTGCCTTATGACAGTTCCTATCCAACAACTCCTGAGTTGGAATAAATCAGTGATTCTACAGTAGGGGCAGAATTCTTTATGGGAATTCCACATGGGCATTCCACCTCACTGGGGAGACTCTATTCCCAACTAGCACCCCTACTCTACCTCCAAGGCGAACACAGCAGTTGGAAGGGTATGTTGAAGCCTGATCACGGCTCCCTAGCACGGGCAAACGAAGTATGCCCTCCCACTGCCTCATGCCTCCCTCTGCCAGGAAAAGAGCAACGGTACCAGGGTGAGGGGCAGTGTGGTCGCCCATAATTTATCAATGAATGTACTAAACAACAGATCAATAATATTTCTTTTCTGAAACATACAAAACAGTCTTTGAATCCAGGACAATATTTGCCACATGTCTAATAAAAAATTCTAAAGATGTTCTGTTTACAGGCTTATTTATTTATGTGGAAGATCAGTTTGAAAATTAGTGTTTTTTATTTTTCCACGTTCCAGTTTTTACTTAATTGCCATATACTTCAATTAAAGCAAATTTCAAACTTTCATGGATATCTTTTTTTTTTCCTGCCACTGATAATCCATGACCCATATTATGGCTGGTTTAAACTTTTGAGCTTTCTCAATTTTTGGGATATAAAAAAAAAAAAAAAATCCCATGGTAGGTTTTTAGGTTTTTATTTCAAGAATTTTGAAATTATTTTTGCACAGAAAACTAAGAATGTTTTGATGGGCTGAGATGGGCATAACAGAGTATCACAAAATCCAGGTCAGTAATCAGTACTATAGTACATCTTCCCTTTCAATAAATTTGAAATCTATAGTCACATTACAAAGGACACTTAACAACAGTTATCACTATGTTCAAATAGTATTCTCATTAACATTCTAATTTGTCATTTTATTCTTAAATACCACTGCTGCTTATCTCCTTCAAACTAGATTTAAAATTTTTCACTACAACTAAAACACTATCACCATCTTGAATATATTACATAATAATTATGTAATAAATTCATGTTGCAGGATTCTGCAACATGGAGTCTTTGCAGCAGGTATCCATTCAGTATCTTCCCTAATAATCAACTCTAATTGTGGCACAAAAAATACTTTTGCGATTCTCGTCTCTTTAAAAAATATACCCATTTTCATAATATATTACTACTGGTAAAAGGTGCAATTGTAAGACTAATACGTAAAACTTAACATCCAAAAAACGAAATATATAAGTTTGGGTACTCTTCTCTGATTTTATTAATGCAGAAATTTAAAGTAAGTGGGAGTTTCTTTGTTCATTTAAAAATATCCTTTTGACGAGATCATAGGTATTTGAGAGGTAAACGTAAATCCTGCCTCCCTCAGATTTCTCTAGAATGGACCAGTATTCAAGGTTACTTCAAAAACAACACTCACAAGAGAAGGTTGTGGAGTTCTGTCCATTTCATGTACGGGAGGGACAAAGAACACCAGCCATAAATATCATGGCTACATTAACTAATTTTTGGTATAATTCTGAAGTATTGGCACGGTTTTGAAATGCCAGAATATGCATGGTTTTTTAAGGCTTATCATTTTGTGGGGGGGAAAATTACTTAAAGCAAATAACCAAATTTTCTCAATTGGTAAAAATTATGCCTTGCATAAAAATAAAAGGATTAGAGGCCTCTGTTCTTCTTGAAAACCACCCCGTCACCCCCTCTCTTTCTTTGAGAAAACCTACACAATACACATTTTGAAAGCTTTCAGAATGTGTTCTTACACAATAGACCCCCAACTAGTCAAAATGAGTTTAGGTGTATCAAGAAAATTATACACGTTTTTAAAATGGTCTAAATAGATATTAAAGGAAAGTTGCTCCCATTTTGCCAGGCACAGCATTCTGAAAGATCACACAGTGAGAAAAATCTCTTACCATATTGTAAACCATAAATTGTGTTTGAAAATAAAATTGTTAATGAAGAAACTGACATTTCTAAAGCTGCTGTTAGAGGTAACCATTCTTGAAACACGTTTATGACACAAAATCTTAAAGCTCTAAAACACAGAAGTCACTGAATTGTATTATATATTTCTTGAAAACAAAATTCAAACGTAATAGTGTGCCTCCTCCAAGTTACTTTAAAATGATGAATACAAATATATATTTTCATGAACATTAAGCCTTTTTTTTTTTGCCAGAAGCAGTAACATTTTACCATCTCAGGTAATATTTCTTTCATTTATGAATATTTAGACGGCAAAATACTCTAACTAGCCCTTTACTTTAGAAGAAAGGATAAATTACAATAAGAGGTGAAACAATGTTTAAGTAAAACAATTCAGAGTTTATATGAATAAGGGAGAATTTAATTATTCTATCTTCTTTTTTTCTAAATCAAAACCAAAAATCTAGATTGTTCTCTTTAAATTTGCAAGGGGGCCCACACTCTTGTTATTAATAACTAAAAAAAAAAAAAAAAAAAAATACAAATATATTTTCTTCCAGTAAAAGCCATCAGTGTAAGGACCTTAAATTAAAATTCTAGGTATAAAAAACATTTTTCATAATTATAGTCGAATTTAAAATCATTTATGTATCAAAACAAATGACGCTGATGCTCATTAAGCAAAGTGCAGGTAACAAATGACCTTCAGGCAGCCAAGAGAGGCAGGAGTCTTCTCCACACACAGCTGTGAATTCACTCTGGGCTAGATGGATATCAGCCCCTTCCTAACACAATGTGGGCCCTTTCCTAAACTAAAACTGCCCGTTTTAAAACATGAGGGATTTCTTAAAGTAAGAATATTGCTCTATCTTTACAAATGCTCCTTAATTTCACTCCCACTCACTGTCATAGCTGCTGCTGCTAGCCTCTGGCTGAGACAGGCTTCCATGCACTGCTCCTCGGGACTCCTCACTTCCTAATAACAAAATGAACAAGACGGGAGGCAGGAAGAAAGTGGGGATGGGAACAGGCTGCAGGAGAGAGAGAGGAATTTCTTCAAAACCTTTAGCCTCCAGGGTGAAATTCTGTCCTCCCTCTTTAGATACTCCAGCATTCTCTGGGGTGAATTCATGTAAACCTAAGGATGTTCTATCCACACTATATGATAAAGACAATGTTAACTGAGTTGGAGGGCAGACAATTCTCTTGGAAAGTCGAATGTTTGTCTTCACAGACGTGCACAAATGACACTATCAAAGGAAAGGTAAAATATATCCCTGGCCTGACTCAACAGGGCACTTGTACATTAATGAAACTTTTCCCCAGAATGAGCCTTTTCTATTAGAAGGCAAGAAATGTTTTGGAACCAAAAAATAATAAACAAAGGGCAGAGAGGTAGGAGAAACTTGGTACTGCAGCCAGTACTGAATCTCTTCATTGCATCAAATAAATCCTCTCTTGTGAAACCTGAAACCATCTTCCCCTTGCCTGAGCTGCCCACAGGTGTGCCTACACATCCCGCACTGCCCAGCTATGAAGGGGACCACATGGAAGCCCAACCCTGCCATGCCCTTTGCAAGTGGGGCCCTGTTAATGTCGGTGATGGCTCTGCTCCGTACTGGAAGAGCCTTCAGCACTAGTTTATGAGGCACCTCAGAAATGACTTTCTACTTTGCCTTTTGCTTCAAGAGCTTTGAAAAGTGATGACTTGGGGGCTCCTGGGTGGCTCAGTCAATTAAGTATCTGCCTGCGGCTCAGTCATGATCTCAGGGTCCTGAGATCAAGCCCTGTGTTAGCTCAGCGGGGAGCCGGCTTCTCCCTCTTCCTCCCCCCCACTCATGCTTGCTCTGTCTCTAGCGCTCGCTCGCTCTCAAATAAATAAAATATTAAAAAGAAAAAAAGAAAAGTGATGACTTGAGGCTTTAATTCCTTGTGTCCCAACTTGTTGAGAGAAAAGGAGGGTTGGCACACTTTGTGGGGGCACTCAGGCGGGTCAGGCCAGTGGAACTCAGCAGCTGCAGTAAGCCCAGGTACTACTCGCCTGATCTGGATCTTCCTCGTGTCCCATTATGTACATCAACATGTGGAAATGGAAAGACAATAGCCTGAGAGGTGTAGGCTTTCTGGCTCTGCCATTTAAATGTCTCGTATCTTGGGCTCCCTAGATGCAAAATGAGAGTAGCTCCCCACCCCAATTTCATGATTACTGTGAATAGTAAATAATGCAATGTATGTACAAAGGACACTGTGATAATACTATACAAATATACGATCTTCTTGCATGATGTTTTATTATAAAATCATAGGTTACCTTCTTGGAAGGAAATGAAATCTGTATTTATATACAGAAAAGGCTAACAGGTAAGACTGTTCAACTTACGGGTCTGTGTGGCCTCTTTTGTCTGTGTATCGGAGCATTCCATGTCTTCAACACTGGACTGTGTGCTCTCCTCAATTCCTTTCTTGCGCTTCTTACATACAAAGATTTTTTAAAAGAAAGAGAAAGAGAGATGAAGTCTGAGGGTCAAGCAAGTAAATACAACTTACCGTATACTGGTATACATGCCAGTCTATCTAGGTGGGGGTGTTATCAAAACATACAGTAAGAATATATACAATTTCAGGGTGGGTGTTACCTAAGGGGAAAGGGTTGGGGATGGAAGAAAATGGAATTAAGAGAATCTTCAACTATATAGTAGTCTCATTGTCGGCTTGTCTGTTATAACCACTTCTAACTTTTTATGCTTCTTATAGTTCATCACTGAAACCCTACCCATCAGGATTGATTATACAGAAACTCTGTTTTGAACATCAAAGCATTTAACAAATTTGGAATTGGCCCTGAGGCTAATGACACTTAATTCTCCCAATTTTTACTGTGTGTTTGGGGGGCGGGAAAATATACTTTGTCGATATAGTATATAACTGCTTATACCCTGTCAAATGGTGGCAAAATTCTACTCACGAATCAATAATGACCAACTTCCAGTGAGTATTTTCCTTTGTATACTTTTTATTAAAATTTTAAGGGGGACACCTTCCTATAAAGGAAGTCTTAAAAGTAAGCACATAGCCCTCCTAAAATCTTGAAAATAGGTTGGATTTTCCACCTCCCCTCAAGCTTTCCCAACTTTTTTTTTTTTTAAAGATTTCATTTATTTATTCTTGAGAGACACAGAGAGAGAGAGAGAGAGGCAGAGACACAGGCAGAAGAAGAAACAGGCTCCATGCAGGGAGCCCGATGTGGGACTCGATCCCTGGTCTCCAGGATCACGCCCTGGGCTTAAGGCGGAGCTAAACTGCTGAGCCACCAGGCTGCCCCTTTTCCAACTTTCTATTTATTTTTCTAGTTGAGGGCTACTTAGGAGTAAATGCTTATATTATGTCACGAGCTAGTCTTCCCAGGTGTCTGTTCAATTTCTTTTCATTATTTTCTATCACTATGACATTTTCTAACTAGTTCAGTACGCTATGAGGGTTTTAATTTACTCAACATGTCTACATGTAGGAATAACTATGGAGGGACTTAGGAAATAACTTTAGAACTTTCTATTTTTCATATAATTTTATCCTATGTAGTCTCAAATTTAAATGCAATAAAATCCAAATGATAAGTCAAAGAGCTTCCCTGGGTTGCCCAGATTTCATTTAGGAAATCCTCTCATCTGTCCCAAATTTTAGATTCGCAATGCATCGGAACATCCTTGCTTACATTTTCCAACAATTAATATTAAGTTAAACTTCATCTGCGAATTCACTTGCTTCGGGCCATGTTGCACACTGCCTGCTGACAGCACACTGCTCTCTTGCCTGACAGCAACAGGCTCTGTTCCACAGAGACCTACATGGGAAAGCTCCCCTCTACTCAAACCACATTCCCTGAACCACCCCCCAAAATGGTCAGAACTGTTATTATCTACATATTACAAATAACCCCACTGTTTCAAAAATATTCTTAAGGCAGCCGTGAAAAGATTAAAACTGAGGTTCCTGCCATTTTCCTAAAGAAAATTCTTCACACAGACAAAAATAACTTGACTAAAGTTTAAGAAACTTTCAAAGGCATTCATTTAGCAGATCTGTATATGGAGGTATTGCCTCTCGGAAATAGCTGTTAAGAGAGGCTGTAACTTCATATAACTGATGAGAGAAGGGGAGAGTGCCTTACATCTTTCTTTTCCAAAGTGTTGCTTCATGATTACCATCTAAACCCTGCTGGGCTGAACAGATTGGCTCGATAATTACATACAATAACTGCAGTGGGCAGGTAACCCTCAGCTGGCACAGGGCAGCTCCCCTGTGAGAACTTCCATATGCAAACTGCACTGATGGAGTGCACTAGGTACATCTTTCCTGTCGGTGCACAGGCCTGATTAACGCCAGCCAAGACTCCAAGGTTAGCATGTCAGCAGATTTGTGATGCATTAGGCAGGAATAAACACAGACACTTTTGTTCGTTCGGACCAAAATTAAGGAGGAATATTTCACTACTATATTGCTTCCCATACAGAAAAGAATGCATTTTTTCTGATTTTAAGGAGGCAGACTTTTAGATGCTCATTATAAAGGGAGCTATCCAATACATTCTACCCAAGAACCTAGTGCATTCATCTTGTTCCCAAGCTTATTTAATAAAAAAGAGCTTTCTTAATCTCCATGCAGGTAAATTACACAGGAATGAAAAAAACAGCCAGTATTCAACCACCACCACCAAAAACAACAACAACAAAAAAAACCACCTGTGTTTTAAGCATCATGCAATAGGTAAAGCACTGAATTTCATTAGTCCACACTTCAGCTACGTTTCTCCTGCCCAACTTTTCTGAGAATATATTTAGTTTTGACAGAAAGGGCCAATGGTCTACAGGAAAAGACCAATTAAAAACAAAAAAACCTTCAAGTTTAATAGTATCTAAGTGTGTTATTGATTTTATAAGGCAATGAGCAAAATTCCAAACAATTCACTGGCAGCTTCTTTCTCCTGATTATCTCCAAATACTTCATTCTGTTATTTGTCAACATCCTGGGCTTCATATAGTGCATATTTGGGTTCTCCCAGAACAGAATACAGCTTCATAAAGGGACTGTGCTAATGTCTGATTTTGTCACATTCCACACCAGGTCCCACAAAGTGCCTTTGCATTTATAAATGAAATCAAAATATTGTACAGCACACAAGAATGACTTACAAACTTAGAAGAGAGTTTTCTTTTAATTCAGCACAGCTAAAATATCTGCAGAAAATTAGGTTTTTTTTTTCAAAGGGCATTAGTGTATGTATTACGCATTGTATTTTTGAAGTGTTCAGATATGCTAGGCTAAAATTTAGTTAATTAGCAGCTTCTCACTTCCAGCTTAGAAACAGGAAGACAAATCAGCTAGATGCATTTGGACTGATAATTTACTAATAGTCTAAACACTGACTAGAGACCACTTAGAGACTTAAAGCTGTTTTAACGGGACAAAGAATAAAAATCTTGCGAGGCAAAAACCAAAGACCCGTTCATTCTTTGCTTCCCAGGTCCCACATCAAAAGATCACCTCCAGATGCTTTCAAAAGTCTCTAAAAAAAGCCAATCAGATCCACTGCTCTGTCAAAGGAGAGGAGTATTCCAGGACTGTTGCTGTTTTTTTCCTCCTTATTACAAAAATCACCATTCTAAGTTTCCTTATTACAGAAACTTAAAATATACAACCTAAAACTTCCAAAGGTCTGGTACTTTACATGTGGCGATGAACAAAGAACTCCAAATACAAACATGTGACTCCATCCATCAGTTCATCTCATTTTATTTACTTAAGGCCACCTAAAGTCACTGGGAAAAGGTGCATACTTTATAAACTAACAGTATTATTTATTTATAGTCCTATATTCATTAGTAGCAACCAGTAGCTAAAAAAGAAACATTGAACATACCTTCTATGAAGGCAAAGCAGACACCTTGTTATGTAATATTTACAAAACCAGTGGAATTAGTTAACATTCACAATATAGACAGAAAACGCTGAGGCTGAAGACAGAAGGCTAAGAGAACAGGCTCAGTGTTTCTCAGCTGGGGATGGGAAAGATCAGAACTCAGAACTCTTCATTCTCACTCTAATTTCTATCTTGGAGCTATGTCGTCTGGTACAGGCCCTGCAGTGGACACAGCAATTCCCAGCTGCTGTGCTTTCATATCAGCGCAACCCTTCCAGAAGAGTTCGAGTCCACAGAACTCGACAGATCCTATTACACACCCTATTTCTCCCTTCTACTTGTGTTCCCAGAAGGCAGGGACTACTGTTCCCCATTTGGGGAGCACTCGTTGAGTCGAGCACAGTATTTTACGTAGAAACATCTGTGAGTCTGCACCTGTCGAGGAACTCTTCATCCAGTGTTGTAATAAGAGCTGACTTCCTATTTTACTCCAAACCCTTTACAAACTGTGTAATTTTAAGTGAACATTAAGTAATTACAGGTATATTTTGAGAAAAAGTAGGAAGAGGCCAGACATAATTAGAAAAAGAAGAAATGAAAGATGGGAAGTGGGTCAGGAAGTGAAGGACTTAAAAAGAGGGGCAGATTAATTTGAAGAAAAATCTAAAAATATTCTGCTAGAATGCATTAAAGTGATTTATTATTTTAAATGAGTTCCAGTGATAAAGGCTGTAATAAGAATCATAAATATTACAATTTCTTCTGCAATAACGTGGGCTTCCATGTTACCAGGGGGAGAGAACCCACCACATATTTACTAAGCACCTACTGTGTGCCTTGGTACTGTTACAGGCTGCATTCTCAAGTTGAAAAATACATGCTAAAAAATAGATTAAAGCAAGAGTAAGCTTATCTTTTATAAAAACATCAAACACACACAGGTTAAATTTATAACACTTTAAGTCCTAGAAGAAATCACTTCAGAGTTCTGTAAATAGTCTTACATAGTAAGTGTCCAGTGTAACCCCACATGCATGAATGCCATTCAGTGAAGTATCAATGCACCTGTAAATGAAGCCCATGCATGACTTATTTTATTTGTTGTTCCTCTTGTTATTTGCTTAAACGTGCTTGTCAACACGTTTCATTGTCTACTATGGAGGTAGGAAGAGCATGTATACTCATGTCAAGTTTGCTAGTTATTTCCAGGTCTGGGGGAAAGGGTTTAACAACAGAAAATGTTTCATCATATGACTAACAAAGTTTGGAATATGGTGTTCTTCACCAGTTCAAGTTCTTCACCCTTAAAATACCATGAAGAATGAAGAATTTACTGTCATTGTCCGAAAATGAATTAATGCTACCTATTGTACAAAAACTGAAATCTCAGGTGACTGTAATGTGGGAGACAATCTGTGAAGAGCTGAGAGGGTGATAGCACAACATGCAGTTTACTCTTGTAGAGGAAGAGCATAGATTTTGGGTTACCCTGGAATGTTCATACTCACAAACAAGCAATAATGTTTAAAAATAAGGGACATTTGTGAGGGGTAA